TAAGGATGCTAGACTTCCTTATTTTCTCCCAATACTTTTGTGAACTCCCTGAGTACACCTGCCAAGCAGATGAGACGGCTCCACCACCATTTTCCTCCAGTCTGCCCTAGCTCTGGCTCTCTGTAGAGACCCCTTTGTTTCTGTTGAGGATTAAAGGGGCATATGGCCTCCAGTACCTGCCCAAGCACTTGCTGGTACCCCCAGGCACCTGCTCTTGAGGCCATTGAGGGCATACGCTGATGTCCTTTCCCTTTCTAAGGATTGCTGGAGTCTTGCCCATCTCGTCATTGCCAAAATTACCATTGCCAATTCCAGTTTCTGCTGAAATATCCTGGTGTTCCAATTCTACTTTAAAAAAAAAAAGATGAAAAATAAAATAAGAGAAACATCTATTTTATATGTGTGATATTTTGTTATAATTTTAAACATACTTTACTTTTAGAATAGTTGTAAATTTACAGAAAAAAATCAAATACAGTACAGAATGTTTCTATATACCTCACATGTAATTTCCCCTATTATTAACATATTAGTATGGAATATTTGTCATTATTAATAAACCAATGTCAATATGTTATTATTAACTAAAGCCCATATTTTGTTGGGAAGTTTCCTTAATACCCTTTACTTATCCAAGATTGCATCAAAGGTGCTATATTACATTTAGTCACCTCTCCTTAGGCTCCTCTTGGCTGTGACAGTTTCTTTCTTTACTTTTTATGATCTTGACAGTTTTGAGGAGTTCTGATCAGGTGTTTTATAGAACGTCCTTTGGGGATTTTCTGATGATTTCCCTGTGGTTACATTGGGGCTATGCACTCTAGACGGCAGGAAGACCCACAGAGTTACTGCAGTTCATCATATCCTATCTGGGCTGCATGCTGTCCACATGATCACTATTTTATCACTATTTTTTGGTTTTGTTTTGGGGACTGGGAGTTGAACCCAGGGCTGTTCTATACTGGTACATCCCCAATCCTTTTTCAATTTTATTTTCAGTCAGGGCTTCCCTAAGTTGCCCAGGCTGGCCTCTAACTTGTAATCCTCCTGTCTCAGCCTCCCAAGTAGCTGGGGTTACAGGTGTTTCAGAAAGGGAGCAGTGAACAGGAGATTAGGAGAATACGATCTCCAACTGGCTGACTTAAAACAGTTGATGCTAACTTTGCTATTCTGGCTGAGGAAATGTTGGTTAGATTTCTGTACCTTTTCATATTCAACTCTTTGGAAGGAAGTCAACATATACTTAATAAGTAATGAGTTATGCTCAGCTTCCTTGAAGGCAGACATGAATTATTTGGAATTTTTTGTATAGATTTTTATTTTTTAATGTTTTTGGTGCACTCTAGTTATATATAATACTGGGCTTCATGTTGACATAATTATACATGCATGGAATATAACTGGCTGCATTTCAGTCCCAGGGCTTCCTCTTTCCCTCCTGTCCTTGTCCCCCTGTTCCCTTTCCTCTGTTCCACTGGTCTTTCTTCTATTTATTGACTGATCTTTTTAAATTGGTGTTTCATATGCATAAGGATGGGATTCACTGTTGTATATTCATATATGTATATTGCATGCTTTGCCAATTTCATTTCACAGTTCCTCCCTCTGCCTACCTTCCTCCCTCCCCCATCAATCTTCTTCCTCTACTCCACTCATCTCCCCTCTATTTTTGTGGGATCTTTTTTTCTCCTTATTTTGTTCTAGCTTCTGCATATGACAGAAAACATTTAACTCTTGGGGCTGGGGATGTGGCTCAAGCGGTAGCGCGCTCGCCTGGCATGCGTGCGGCCCGGGTTCGATCCTCAGCACCACATACCAACAAAGATGTTGTGTCCGCCGAGAACTAAAAAATAAATATTAAAAATTCAAAAAAAAAAAAAAGAAAACATTTAACTCTTGACTTTCTGAGTCCGGTTTACTTCACTTAGTATTATCTTCAGTTCCAACCATTTACAAATGACATAATTTCATTCTTCTTCATGGATGAGTAAAACTCCTTTGTGTATATATACTATATTTTCTTTGTTCATTCGTCTGTTTACAGGTACCTGGGCTGGTTCCATAATTGGCTATTGTGAACTGTGCTGTTATAAACACTGATATACCTATATCACTATAGTATACTGACTTTAGTTCTTTGGGATAAATACCAAGGAGTAGGATACCTGGGTCACATGGTGGTTCTATTCCTAGTCTTTTGAAGAATCTCCACATGGCTTTCCATAGTGGTTGTACTAATTTTCAGCCACATCTACAATGTATGAGTATACATTTTCCACCACATCCTCTCCTGCATTTATTATTATTTGTATTCTTGATGGCTACCATTCTGACTGGAGTGAGATGAAGTCTCATTGTAGTTTTGATTTGCATTTCCCTGATTGCTGGGGATGTTGAACATTTTTTCATCTATTTATTGGACATTTTCATTTCTTCTTTTGAAAAATGTCTGTTTAGTTCTTTTGCCCATTTATTGATTTTTTGGTGTTTTTTTCCAGTTCTTTATATACTATGAATTTTAGTACCCTGTCCGAGGAGTAGCTGGCAAAAATTTTTCTATCATTCTGTAGGCACTCTCTTCATGCTGTTGTTTCCTTTGCATGACACAAATTTTTCTATTCTTTCCTTTTCCATTTAATTACTTACTCTATCACTTATGTGTATCAGTATGGTCTTATGGATATTTAATTTGTACTCTGATTTATAATCCAGTACTTTATTTTGATGCTCAGATTGCCCAGCTTTGGGCAGCTCTTTCGGTTAGAAATTATGTCATCTTCATATACCTCCATCTTTTCCTAACAATTTCTTACATCCTGACACTGCAAGGTGCTCCAGGATCAGCTTGTAGAATTCCTGAAATCCCTCCTTGAATCAGCCATTTCTACTTTCTGTATTGGAGCATGGTATTAGAAATTAGGGTCTGAGGGTGGAGGGTGTACCTCAGGGCTGGAGCACTTGCCTAGCATGTGTAAGCCCCGGGTTCAATCTTATTAATGTTTGAATATGAGGTGTCCCCCACAGAAGCTCATGTGTCAGGCAATGTAGGAATGTTCAGAAGTGAAATAATTAGATTATGAGCATTGTGACCTCATCAGTGGATTAATCCATTTGATGGGTTAATGTTCTGAATGTATTATTGGGTGGTAACTGTAGTACTGAGGCATGGTTGGAGGAAGTAGGTCATCGGGGGTGTGCCCTTGAACTGTATCCCTCAAGTTCAGAGCAATGGAGCTGGTTGACCACACACTGAACCTCTAAAACCATGAGCCCAAAATAAACTTTTCCTCCCAGAAGTTGTTCTTGTCAGGCCTCAACACAGAGGAAAGAAAGGAAGGAAGCAAGGAAGCCAGGAAGGAAGGAAAAGTGAAGTGACACTAAGTGTGCTCTTTGCTACTAACAATATGTCCTTTCTTCTGGTCTGTCTTTATGAATATAAGAAGGAAAATATATGTGTGTACCAAGCCCTGTGTATTCTGTATGTGACCATCTGTAACTATGTTAAGTGAAACATGCATTCATTCTGATATCTCCAACTCTAACCCATTACCATGATTCATTCTAGCCTCTTTCCTTTCTTACTGCCATAGTAAGAAACTTGGCGTCCATTATCAACCACTAGTTTTCGTAATTGCTCTGTTCCCTATATACATACAGTGATTTCAGAATGGTTAATTTATACCACAGTAGACACAGTTTTATAGACTCTAATCATTTCCAAAGTTACTTAGGTTAGCAAATTTTCTCACATCTGCTTCAGTGAGGTTGTTTCCTAATATAGTTATTTTGTCCCATTCTTTATCCCATCTTGGAATCTTCTGACCTCCTAAATAATTTTTTAATTTGCATGCATTAAGGCTGGGGATGTAGCACAGTGGTAGAGGCCCTGCATTTGATTCCCAGAACTACACACACACAAAATTGAATACATTAAGGTTCTGTGGATTTTGACAAATGCATGATGTCATATTACCATTACAGTATCACACAAAATAGTTATACTACCCTAAAATATGTGCTGTGCTGCTTCACTTATTCAATCCTCCTCTCCCACTAAACCCATACTACTTCATTTCTCATCTCCACAGTTTTGCCTTTCCATGATGTCATATGAACAGAATTTTATAATCAGACTTGCTTCTTTCACTTACCAATATACACTTAAAATTCATCCAGATCTTTGCTTAGTTTGGTAGCTCATCCTTTTTTAAAATTTGCAATAAAATACACATAACAAAATATACCACCTTAATCATTTCCAAGTGTATGATCCAGGGGTATTAAGTGTACTCACACTGTTGTGTAACCGTCATGCCATCTGTCCACAGAACTCCTGCAAAACTGAAACTCTCAACCCATTAAACATTAACTGCCCATTCCTCCTCCCCCACCTCCTCTTGACAACCGCCATTCTACTTTCTATCTGTATGAACTTCACCAACCTAGAACCCCATATAGGCGAGAGCACACAGTATTTCTTTTGGTGACTGGCTTATTTCACTTACATAATGTTCTCAAGGTTCACCCATGTTGCAGCACCCATGTTTCCCCCTCCCCTGGGAAAACTGTAAAGTTTTATTGAGAGAATTTAAGTCGTATTTTCAATATGACAGTATGTATGGCTTAAGTTTGTCTTAACTTATGGCTGCCCATCATCTACTTTCGGGATTTCAGTACTCTGTAGGTTTGGTAGACTTCCCTTTCACATCAGGACCATCTCCACGTTCAGCCTCAGTCTTTTCCATACCCATTTCCAGGCCATTCACTTTCCAATTCAGGTTCATCTTTACCATAAATTGCAGGCTCTCCTTCCTTTCTTTCTTGTCCTGGTTTAATATTCTAATTCCAGAGGAGGCGCCTGCTGGAGGAAATGGAAGCATAAAACAGGAGTCACCCACAGGTGGCAGAGCAGGGGTCTAGTTCCCTAAAGGTGTTTTGTAAAGTGGTTTCAGTGTACACTGGTACCAACTTGTCTGATTCTGGTGAGAAAGAATATCCCTATGCACACATTACGTGAATCAGCTCAATTACAGGTAGGTGGCAAGGCAAGAGAAGTCTAGGATTCACTGTAAGCCAGTATTTCCAAGCTCGGGAACATTGTCCAGGGGAGATGGCTCTAATTTCAAGTGCCCACTTGGCGCTGCGGTTTTTGGGACCCTGGAAAGCAGTCTACTCTGGTTTTATCTCCTGGAAGCCATCCAACACATTGGGCTAACCCACTGGAGGGCATGTTATTTCTAGGGGAGGCTGAACAAAGCCCAGGCTGTTCAGCCATCTCATCTGTGTTAGTCAGCTTTTCACTGCTATGACAAACTACCTAAGAAAATAACTTAAGGGAGGAAAGACTTGTTTTGGCTCATGTTTTCAAAAGGCTTTTATTTCATGGTCAGCTGGCTCCATTGATTTAGGCCTGAGGCAAGGCAAAACATCATGGCAGAAGGATATGGAGGAGGAAAGTTGCTTACCTCATAGCAGTTGGAAAACTAAGACAGGAAGGGGCTGGGGACAAGATGTAGTTCCCACTCCCTCCAATTACGTTCTATTTCCTACAGTTCCCAGCACTTCCCAATAGCCTATTCAGCTATGGATCCCTCAATGGATTAACTCATTGATGCGGTTAGAATCCCCACAATCCAATCACTTATGAAATCCCAACAATGCAGCATTGAGTACCAAGCCTTCAGCATGTTTTAAGGGAACACTTCAATCCAAACCATAATATCCCCCTTATCTCAGGATGTTGTACTCCCAGTAAATTGTACAGTTATTTTTAAGAACTGTAAGTGAGAAATGGGGGAGAACTAGGGAATCCAAGGCCATCTAGAGAACTACTCAGCAGTACTGTCTCCAACTTCAAAGTGCTTTTCACTCAGCGACATTGCTTTTCTTTCCTTCTATTAAGGAAACATGAAAGTAGACTCTGACTTTACCCCACACCAGATCATGTGGACACTTCACATAAAGTCTGATAAATCTTCCTACTACTTATATAACACAAAAGAGAAAAGAGAACCTTTAAAGGAAAAAAGGGAAAAGAGAACCTTTAAAGGAATCTGACAGATACCATCTTTATCAGGAGATCAGTAATTTTCATTGATAATGAAACATCTGAAATCAAGTGTCAACTGACTTCTGTGATATTCCTGCTAAAGTTTATATCCTGAAACTCATATCTAGGAAACATCAGACAAACCCACAGTCAAGGTAGTTCTCGAAAATAATTCTCCAGGCCATGAAAGTTAAGAAAGGACTAAGGAACTTTCAGATTGAAGGAAACCAATAAGTCATGACAACTAAATGCATGCATGATTTTGAACTGAATCTTTTTGTTATAAAGAACAATATTAGGACAAATGGCAAAACTTGAATGGGGTTAAGAGGTAGATGGTAATGTAAGGGTCCGGCGAACGACAGAGGAAGAGACCACCAAGAGACCGACTCATGCAACAGCAAAAGGGGGTTTATTGAGGATCCAGCGCGCTGGGGCTCCAGGCTCACTCAAGAAGGGAGAGCGGCCAAGAACCCTGAGCAGGGGTTGAGTAGTGCTTAAGTACACTTTTTGGGGAGGGCTGGGGCTTTGCATACATCAGAGCAAATCATCATGAGGTGAGGGAAAATCAAACAACAACTCTCAAACATGATTAGCACATTCATTGGCAGGAACAGGTTGGGCGGGAGTGATAGGTCAGTCCTAAGGAGGGGGGTACATTCAAACTGATTGGTTTGGGCCCTGAGGTGCCTACGTGCTGAGCTGCACTGGGTCCAAGTTATTAAACAACTAAGTGGTCAGGAGGGATTATTTAATGGGCAGTCCCAGGAATTGTCCTAACAGCTACAGGAATTTCAGGCTTTGAGTGTAGCATAGAAACTTAACAATACCTGGTCCTTTATATTTTAACTCAGGCTTTGCAGCTTAGAAACTTTACAATACCCTGTCCTTTACATTTTAACTTCATTTTTTTTATCCTTTCAGTAGCAATGTTAATTTCCTAATTTTGATAGTTTTATTGTGACAGTCTTATTTATAGCTATATACTTATCCATAGATAAGTATAGTGGTATATGGTATATGGCATATGGTAGTGTTTCTATAGATAACACTACCACTGAGCTACATCCGAGCGCTTTACACTATATTTTATTTTATAATATTTTTTAGTTGAAATGGATCTTTTTTTTCCAATTTATTTATTTATTTATATGCAGTGGTGAGGATCAAACCCAGGGCCTCACACATGTGAAGCCAGATTTAAAGATAGGTAGTTAGTGTAGTTAGGCAAATCAGGTCTAATATCAGTAAAATAAAAAATGAAGGCCATATTGAGAATGGAGTCCAGGGAAAGGGGAATTGAAAATGTCCCCAAGGCCCAGAGCCCATTCCAAGGAAATGTTAATGAAGTAGCTCCTAGCAAACCTGGAGATACTAATCCAAAAGTCCTTCCTGCCCAGATTACTCCTCAGGCCCATGGGTCTCCCACCCTTTGGGCCTTTCCATCTACATTCTATCATTGCAAGATAATAGAACAAAGGACAGGAATGCGGGAAAGACCTCCCTCTTCCATGGATTCCACATCTTGGGTCCCCTTCCTCCGGGGAGAAGTCTTTTCTGCTGTCCTTAATAAAGCTTCTACTTTCCACTCTAAACTTGCCTTGGTGTGCTTCTCTGGTGTTTTACTTCAACATTGGGGAAGTAAGTGAAAAACCAGCCTCTACCTCAGAGCAAAGCCTGAAGGGGGCGTGACCCTTGTCCTTGGAAAGAACCACAGAGCACTCCTAGGCACATACCCACCCTGCTGAGTTGTCTATCTACAAATAACAGGAGAGATCTGCAGTGCCAGGTGTCCCTGACTCAAAATCAGGCTAGGTGGGGACCCATAGCAACCCCCTAGCAGCCATCAATCAGCATGGGTCAGGGAAAATACCTGGGATGTTAAATGACTCTCCCAGTAGTTTATGGTGGTTGATAACATGTTGGGAAACCATGTAGTTCAGCATGTACTCCCCTCATGGTTTAAACCAATCAGTTCAAACGAATCTCCTTCTTATACTAACCAATCACTCCTAACCACCTTGTTCCTGCCAGTGAATGTGCTAATCATGTTTTAGAGTTTTATGATTTTCCCTCGGTGTGTGACGATTTACTAAGAGATGCTATGATGTATGTGGGGTCCTTGCCTTCCCCAAAGAATGTAAAACTGCTGCAAACCTTGGGCTTGGGGTCTCTCAGCGTCACCAGTTGCTGTGTGGGTGCAGAGGACTGAGCTAGCTCGCAATAAACATCTCTTTGCTGCTTACATAGATCTTGGTCTCTGGTGGTCTTTTGGGGGTCCGGAATTCAAGCATAACATAAGGACTTGTCACTGGTAAACAGTGGTAACACATGCCAGGCAAGTGCTCTACCACTGAGCCACAACTCCAGCCCCTTTACACTATATTTTAATTTTGTTTTCTCTTCTATTCCTTCTTTTATGCTATTCAAGTGCAAAGACTGTCTTCACTGCCGTTTCACTAAAGTTAACACAGATCTTAGCTCATCTGGAGTTATTTTCTTTTAATATTTTTTAGTTGTTGATGGATCTTTATTTTATTTACTTATATATGGTGCTGAGAATCGAACCCAGTGCCTCACACATGCTAGGCAAACACTCTACCACTGAGCCACAACCCAGCCCTCATGTGGAGTCATTTTAATTAGTCATTTCTTGCCTCTGAAAATAGAAAAAGATGTATTTGATGTGAAATATTAAATCACAAGTAATTAGTTGAATTTATATTGCTCTTGTTCTTTACTTGAACAATGTCCAAAGTCCTTTCAATGACAATGTATATTACAATGATATTAAAATTTCTTACCAAAGTCCAAAGACCAGTTTTCTACACAGATTTTGCTAGTAAAGGTGAATTATCAGCAAAGCAATAAACAAAATGCATTTACATTAAATAATTCTCAAGTGACTTCTAGTAAAGAGAATCAATGAAGAAATTATACCACAGATTTGGTTTTAAAGTAATCTCTTTAAATAGCAGCAACTAAAATATAGTTTTTATTTACCTGAAATTTTTTCCTTATTAAGCATCAACACAGGAAAGAGAAAGGACTTTTTCTTTGTGATTTGTGAAAGAATTATTTAAAAATTCAGAGTTTATAAAAATTTTTATTGATACCCCAGAAATCTTCACATGAAAAGGGGAATTTCCAGGAGGCTTGGGGGTACACGCCTGTAATCCCAGTGACTTGGGAGGCTGAAGCAGGAGGATAGCAAGGTAGAGCCAGACTTAGCAACTTAGCAAGACCCTGTCTCAAAATAAAATTTAAGGCAAAAGGGTGAGGATGTAACTCAGTGGTAGTATCCTCCTACGCTTAATCTCCAGTACCATAAGACACCCCCCCCCAAAAAAAAAGTATTTTCATTAGGTTATACAAGGACAAGTTGAAATTGGGAATAAAACCGAGGAGAACCATCCAGAAGTTCTTCTCACTCTCCTTCCTTTTTCCCTCCCCTCCAATTCCATGAAATGTGGACTTGTGGTCAAAAGACAACTGGAACAGAATTGTAGCTGAACAGTGCCAAGGTATTTGGAAACTCCACTCTGAGCCATGACACCATTCCATTAGCACAAAACTTTGCTAGGTGCAAGGTCTGAGGAACCCTAGCATTCTCTCCCACTCTGCACCCCAAATGTGTGAGATGTTGGGACTATGGTGTGATGGCAAAAGCCAAGACTGGGACTCCAGCTTCTGAAAACTTCTGTTTCGCCTTTAAGCATCTACTTTACTATTTCCTTTGTGCCAGGCTCTGTGCTAAAGAGTTTTCACCCTGTTTAAAACAAACCACTATTCTATGAGTGGACTTCTCCAGAGTTTTGCTTTGGGTTTCCTTCATAGGATGCAATGACTGTAAGAAATGGCTGTTTCAAAGGGGGATGAAGGGAAGGGAGGGGGAACGGGAATAAGAAAGTAGAATGAATTGGACATACCATCCTACGTGCATATATGATTACACCACCAATGTAATTCTACATCATGTACAACCAGAACAATGAGAACTTATACTCCTTATATGTATAATACGTCAAAATACATTCTACTAGCATGTATTAACTAATAAGAACAAGTAAAAATTGAAATAAGGCAATCCCCAAAAAACAAAAGCAGAATGTTTTCTCTGAATCGTGAACCACAGCTGGGGCAGAGCAGGGTGGAGGAAGAATGCAGGAACTTTGGTTTGTGTAGACTGGAGGAGGGTAGGGGTGGGACTGTGGGGATGGGAAGGACGGTATAATGGGACGGATATTATTATCCGATATACTTGTATGATTACACTACTGGGGCGACTCTGCACCTGTACAGCCAGAGGAATGAGAAATTGTGCTCTATTTGTGTACAACAAGTCAAAATACATTCTACTGTCATGTATAACTAATTAGAACAACAAATAAAATTTTAAAATGTAAAAATTAACTGTTTTATGTTATTATATTTAAATAATTCATGGCAAATATTATAAACAGATTATACAAATACTATAAATTCAGGGAACATCATTTCTAAGATCCACGACTCAAACTGTGGAAAGAGTGGTGATGGTTGGATAACTGTGAATGTAATTCATGTACTGGATTATATACTTAAAAATGGTTAAAACAAATGGCATATATTCACTTTATCACAATTACAAAATTAAAAAACAAAATTTTGTTAGGCAGGTGAAGCGCCTGCTGCACGCTCCTCCTCGGTTCCGGGCGCTGCGCCTCCCTTCTTAATCTCGGTCGCCCCATTAGTAAAAACGAGGGGGTTGCTGAGATGACCTTTAAGGGGCCTTCCAGGTAGATGTATTAGTCTTCTCAGAGTACCCAAAAAGCTTGAGTTCACATTCCAGAGCACGTGTCGGAGCGCAAAGGGCGCCCTCCTATCTCTGCCGGGCAGGGTCAGGGATCTGGAGGTCTGGTTCTCTCAGGCGCCAGCCACTGCGCGCGTGCGCAATGGCCCTCGGCGCGCGGCG